AACTGCAAAGATTTTTTGAATATATTGACTTGAGTCTGATGTGCAATTTATTTATTTATTTTTTACTCGTATTTGTCGTCTGCGAAATTCTGATGAAGGAGGAACTGAGTGAATGCGAAAGTTTACTCAGTTCTTGGTTGAATGAACTCATAGTTCATGATAAGGAATGCTCAGCAAATCTACCGACTTGTTCAAGTGCTCAATTTTATTGGAAAATATCCCAGAAACAGGGCAATTCACGTTTGCTCTAGTTTATGTTAGGTCAAATGCCTTTGACAAGACAAGATTTGATGACGGACAAAAAAATATTAAAGTCGTTTTTATTTCTCCTTCTTGGCCAATGAGACAGAGTCAGAATCATCCTCTTTTCACCTTGGAAGTGTTTTGAAGATCATCCCCATTGTGAATTTTTAAAAGATTTACACGAATCTGAACAAAATACTGCTTTGTTGTGTTGGGACTTCAACAATAAAAAAGTAGGTGTTTCAATCTGAGAAATATCTGCCCCATCCCAGACTGATTTGTTTTGTTGAAGTATGGTATATTAGAGTTTTTGTATCATACTGTATTAATTTCTTGGATCCTGTCTGTCAGGGGCTTATGAGCCTCTCTGGCAAAGCTTAGATTTTGCTTATTGAAAAGCAAAAATGAGTTGTAGACACAATTGGTCATTTGCGGCCTGAGGTCAGCACCTCAACTTCAGTTTATGTCCAGTCAGGTGTTTTCAAATAATAATAATTTCACATTTGGAAAATTTGAAGCTCTTCTCTCTGCTGAGTTCAGACTGCAAGTGCCTCCTTCCTCTTGGGATTTTGCTCAGCTTCTGGTCCTCATCAGTGGAACGTTTTGGTCAAGGCTTTCCACTGATATGTGACTAATTTTTCTGCACATGAAGTCCTGTTAGATTTCTTTGCTCACAGGGCTGGTTCACATGAGTGGAATGAGCCCTGGAGATCATTATCTCCAAGGCTAGCCTGTTGGTGGTTTTCCTAAGAAAACCTGTTTGTATATTTGTTCAGTTATTCCTATTAATAATTATTCTTTTGTTTGCAGGTTTGAATTTTTCCCAAATACAACAGCAACAATGGGGCATTGTACACCATGTTGGTTGTTGTACTTTTCTGTACCAGCCTTGCTTGGGTGACATCTAGTTGTCCCAAGCTAAGTTGCAAGTCTGTGGGTGACATCTGTTTGACCCGGGACACTGTCTTAGCGCTTTTTAATACTTGATTTGTTTCAGGGTTTCTCAGGTGTGCGGTTTGTTTAGGGTAAGATCAGGTGTTACCTTAGGCATAGGGTTTATGTCAGATTTTGAGTGTGGTTGGGTTTTAAGCCAGGTGTTTGATAATAGGCATTGGACCACATGTTATGCCAAGTTAGTTGTTGAGTTAGGTTTTTGTTTTTACTGTTCAGAGCTCTTACTGTTTTGGTCTCATTTTTGAATGCATTCAATTTATTGGTATAAGCACTGTTCTTGTGTAATTCCTGATTTGAACGCTTGCTATTTTATGATGGGCTTTTTGTAATTGATTTTATAATCTTCCAATCATTTTTCTTTCATTGTGATTTTCATCAAATTTCACAGCTTTCCCACCCTTGTGACACAGTTTCATTCACGTTGACAAAAAGGTTTTGATAATTTTGAAATGGAGTCTTTTTCAGATAGGAAAAATATTTTTATGTAATGGAGATCTCGGGATTAGATCTCCCATTGTGGACAGTTCTTTTCACCGGATTCGCGATTTGGTTTTACAAATTTTTGTATTCCGGGTACGAAGTTTTTGCGAAGCGAAGCATACCAACTGTTCGACCCATTTACCCGATTTTCGGGAACCTTTGGGGAGTTTGGAACAAGGTTTGTATTTTGAAGCGAAACCCTCGAATTTTTCAGTTTTTTCTTTTCATTTAACAATTGCAATTTTTCACAGGACATAAGAAAGCGGCAACAAGAAAATGTGCGTCGATACGGAAAATACTTCGGGTGGGTCAAAATGGAAACTTTTCTATATGCTTTTGGTGAAAGGATAATTGTGTCCTGCACAGATTTTATGATGGCAAAGCACCTGTGCTTTATGTCAGTGACCTGGACATGATTAAAGAGATTCTCGTGAAGAAGTTTGATTGCTTCACTGACCATCAAGTGAGAAAAAAAAACTCTTGTCAAACATGATCAACAAACACCGGCCACAGCATGCGTAATTTTTCAAACTGTTTCTTTCAAGTTTTTTTCCACTGGCCTTGAACAGCACGAATACATTCGAAAATTCCTATTTGTCATGAATGGAGAGGATTGGAAAGATGCCAGAAACGCGATCAGCTCG